CTAAGTTAATCTGAGCGATCGACACAGTACTCGTCATATGTATACGACACACAAAGCAGAAAAGATGAGCAAAACAGATATATGCAGTTATATACCTACCACATACTTGTGGCAGCTGACTCGCACCGGTCGGTGCCAGCAAACTTATTAGACTTTGTGTCGCACAGGAAAATGATTCAAGAATTACAATCGCGAAAAAATTAATGTTCCTACACCACATTGCAAAGTGGACATCAGACACGTAAATATTTTCATTATGTCTTTATCTAGGAGGCTTACGAAGTGACCGACGGGCCACATTCCTACTGTTGCTTTCCTGCATGTACGTCGGAGATTGATAGAGCGCTGACACGGATTGATTAATGGTTGCAACAATCGAACAGCAAAATATATGTATGTAGATGCAAAGCTCTGTAGTAAATTGTGACGGGATGTGGAAAATTTTGAAAATGGTAAAAATAGCCTGTGTGGGATATATCGGAAATCTCCTCAAAATTAAATGATTCGTTGAACTGTTCAAGGCGAGAAGTATCCGTCATCAAACAGTCGATGTGTCCACTTAATATACAATAGAAATGCGGAACGATAGTACATGGTGATGAGTTTTCTACGAAAAAAATCCAAGTTGTTGCCAAGAGAGAGATTGAATGGTGGCAATGGCTTCAGTCAGTATTGGAAACTTTTAAGACACGCAACTGTCGGCTTCTCGGGTTTGTGAGCGTGAGTGAAAATGGATCAAGCGCACTTGGTGCAAGGACGAGAGTGAGACTTGTCAAGGACCACTTGATTAGGATCCACAAGGACAATACAGGAAAGGTGGACCTAGAGTTTAATGGCGCAAAGTGTGTAATTAATGAAAATTTCAAACATGGGTGTATGTATTTACATGTGGCGTTTAGAATGATCAAATACATAGGGTAAAGCGCTGTTTCGTCTTTATCGCCTATTCTCGTTATATCGAACAGAAAAATGATTTCACCGTGCACAAATCAAACACACGTTTGTTCCGATGCGTTAGGTCAATAGGTACAACAAAATCTATTATAGCACATAGTATGAATGTTACCTATTTTTCTCAAAAACAAAAGAAGCGCTCCTAGTGATTTTTTTCCATGGCGTTTCTATGCGTTAGAACGGAATTGAAACATTTTTTTGTTTAAACTCGTTCGGAAAAGATAGACAAAGCACCGCGTGTGCTTACACAGAAACAAAATCCATTGGCAAAAATACTATATTGATGGTTTAAATTAAATACTCCCACCAATAGATTTGTGCAGAAACGAAATTCATTTAATTTTACTATTTTTTCTATCAAAACTACTATGCCGTTTGAGTAAGCATAGTAGTTTTGACAGAATGGTAGTAAATTTGATTATATTTTTAGTCAACTATACTGAAATCATGGTAGATTTAACGGCATTAAGCGTAGTTATACTGAAAATAAGTGTTTTCTGCAAAATAGTATTCCTAACTATGGTCTTTGTTTCAGTGTAGTAAGAAGGACATTTTTACCTAGAGGCTGAGTACTACCGGCCCGAAAATAAAAATTTCGTTTCGGCTCGTTTTTATTGTTCTAAAAATATTGGGATCCTAAGATTCTTGACAAAAATTACATGTAATAATATTTTTTCTATATCATCATGAAAAAAAAAATTGGACTCTCAGCAAAACCGAAAAGTCGATGTTTTGTGGTTTTTTGAGTCCAACTCTATGCCATAATGACTTAAAATTTTTTTTTCACGTGAATTTTCTTTGAAAAATTAGAAAAAAAAAGTGATTATGTTAAATTTTTGATACCTTTTCCAAATACTTTTAGAAAAATCAAAACGTAATTATTTTTTTCGGAGCGGTGAACTTTCTCTTAAGGTCACAGTGGCGTCCCGTAACCTCACTTTTAACCTGTGCACCAACTTTCAAAACCAGATTTAATGCCGAACCGGTTGTAAAATGCTCTTAACCTTCTAGTTTACTCGATATTTATACATTGCAAGCAATATTTTGATAATTGTCTATGTCTAAGAGTTCGTGCACAGGTAGATTGAGGTTAATAAAACGCCACTGCTTAAAAGGGTTAGATTTTGATAAGTTCTGTAGTGGAAATGACACTGATGAAGACTGCACATTGTAGTCGAAATATGTATCTGTCATGGATACCAAAATTAATTAAGTGGAATTAAATGGAAGATAACCTTTTTTGCTGTTTCAGCAAAAGAATTTTCTCAAGGGTAACCTTCAAACTTACCCGTCATAGGTCTAAATTCTTCATTATTGATGATTTTAATGCAAAACACCGCTCATGGAATAATGCTCAAAGCAATTCCAATTGTAATATTATGTTTGATGATTGTTCTGTAGGTTATTACACTATTCAATATCCAAATAATCCAACATGCTTTTTTTCAGCAAGAAATGCGTCAACTATCGATTTGGTCTTAACTGATTCATGTCAACTTTGTAGCCAATTGGTTACCCATGCTGAATACGGTTCTGATCACCTTCCAGTAACGTTTGAAATAGACGAAGAAATAATGTCTAATCCCAACAGCTCTACTTTCAATAACCATAGAGCTGCTTTGGAGCAATATCGAACATATAGTATATGGAACATAGCTTCTCTGGCTACTTCTATAGTTGAAGCAAGAGCTACCTCAGTACCAAAATGCGAGGTTAAATTCAATAATAATAAACGATGATCTTCAGCTCTTGATCCGTCTTAAAAATGTTCGTAGTAGGCAATATCAAAGAACACGCGATCCTTCCATGAAAGTTATCTGATGGAATTTGCAAAAACTAATTAAAAAGCGATTCTCCGCCAGAGGAACAAAACTTTTGAAAATAGAAGGTGGTTAAATTTTGATCACAAATTCGGAAAAAAAAGCTCAGAAACTTGCTAAGCAATTCGAGAGCTCCCATAGTTTCAGTTTGGGTCTTACTAGTCCTATTGAGAATCAGGTTGCTCGGGATTATCTGAAAATTTTCTCTCGGTAAAATATGTTTGATGATTCCTGTGGAACTGATTTGGACGAAGTAAGATCAATAGCTAAAAAGTTTCAAAATATGAAAGCTCCAGGTGATGATGGAATTGTCTGTATCCTCATCAAAAAACTCCCAGAGAGTACCTTGTCTTTCTTGGTTAAACTATTTAACAGATGTTTCCATTTGGCATACTTTCCTGATAAATGGAAAAGTGCAAAAGTTGTTCCAATTTTGAAGCCGGATAAAAATCCAGCTGGAGCTTCTAGCTACCTAGTTTGCTTTTTTTTCCTTTGGTTTGTTTTTTTCCGTCGATCTTGTTTTCCGTGCTGAGCACCAATGCTACCGACGTGCCAGGAAGGCAGCTCCAACACCCTACCTATCGACCCATCAACTCATGAACCGGGGACCAACGGCTTTACTTCCCTTATGATCACGCTTACCACTACACCACCGCACCGCTGAGTGACACTTTTAAGGAAATCAAAACAAATACGTGCAAACTTGCGTGCGGTTTTTCTCAATTGGTGTACATTTGGCTAGTTTCGCCCTAGTAACAATTTGCTCCGGATATATCAAATGTTTGTATCCTCTTATAAACAGGAAATCCAAACTTTGTCTGACGAATAAACTTCTAATATTTAAACAAGTTTTTAGCCCGGCCATGCTTTACGCTGTGCCAATATTGTATAATTGTTGCATTACCAGGAAAAAAGCTCTTCAAAGAATCATGTTTGAAGTTGCCTCCCTGGTACAGTACTACCGAGGTACAACAAATGTTCAACAAAAATAATTAATAATTTCAGGCAAAAATCGTTGCAATCCTCAATTACGATTAATTCCCTTTATACTTAGATAAGGTTTAGTTTTAGTTTTTAGTTTTAAGATGTCAATTGTTATACTGGCATGCAGGTATGGAAAACCTGTTTTAAATACTGAATTGTCAAGGCAGGAACAACGTAAAAACACTTAGATATAGGGAAAAATGGCTCTAATGTTGGGCTATGTATCTAAGATTGGGCCCATCGTTAAAAATCTGCTATTTATCAATTTTATCTAGACGAACGCGTCATTGGGACGGTACTAATGGATATATTAGGTCGCTATTGAAAATTTATTAGATTGCTGAATTTATGTATGGGCCCAAATTAGGGGCATATACGCCGATATTACATCCATTTCCCCTATATATCATAACGATTAAGGCTGGTACGTTACTGCAGCAGCGGGAGCACCTAGGTTTATAATGAAATGTAATTTATTTTGAATATAGAACAAACAAATAAATAAAAACGCCGTTAACGAGACAAGAGAAAACAATCTGGGTGAGCTGCGCACTCAGCGAAATGAGTTAATCACTGATGCTACCTCTCGTAAGATTGAGGAGCGTTGTTCTCGAAGTTCTGTGCACCTGAATCGGATACAGGAGAAGATCGATGCGACTCTCCGGCGGCAGTATGTAGGTAGCATCATCCTGGAACAGGTTAAAGAATTCCAAGAGTCCCTCTATTTGGTACTCAGTGATTACGAAAAAGTTTTCGACCGACTCAATCAGTGGCGTCGCGTCTACATGTGCAACCTGTGCACGACACAGGTGTAAATAATTTAAAAAAATGCATTCAGATTTTTATAGATTTTATGGTCACATTATAGCTGTACTTCTCTACTCCAGACCACAAGTGACCATGAATACACTATTTTATCTATTACATCTTCGACCTTGATTTGCTTCAAAAAGGATTAAATTCAGTTCGGGTGGTCTGCCAATCCCTAATGCAATGATTTCTAAGCGGGTCGATATCACTACCATGACAAAACTCGTTAAATAGTGCACCTAAAAGCGAGCTTTTTTGGGTGGCTGGTGGCATGTTTTGAATAGTCAAATGCCTGATGTAAGCCAAGCAGAGCTTCTATCACCTCTTGAAACATACCACAAATTTTCCACAGTACATGGCGGTTTGCACCACTAGTTGTAATTGAAACTTTCAACAGTCACGCGTCAAATGGGAGTAACACGGAAACAGCAGTCTTGGTGGGACGTTATCACTTGCAGACCGGCTTGAATGTGTGACTTTAAATTAGAAGAACATTTGTGATGTATGGGTGCCGCCTAAAGCGTGCATTTCTCGCTGTGCACGCGCTGATTGCAGGCAAAGGGAGTAATGAAGAATGAGAGCGCAAAAGCTCGCTTTTACTATCTTGTCAGTTGTAAATCTCTCAAATTCCGATGGTTGCGCCGGTGAACTTGTCAAGACTTATGAGCTTCCCCTGGTTCATTCTCATAGTGTTGTTCTGATGATTAACTCATGTTTGCTACCCAGGAGACTTCAGTGGAAAGAGTTAGCCTTGTGATAAAAACGAGAATTAGTTAAGTTTTGTAATTCCTTTTACTTCGATTAGCGCGAAAAGGGCCATACAAGTTTTGCTTATACCCCGTTCACATTACAGTCTATATTACGTAATATGGGCTGTCTTGCAAAGAACACTCATACAAAGGATTTCCAGTGAAAACTAGATGTATGAGTGCTCATTGCAAGACAGCGTATATAACGTAATATACGCTGTAATGTGAACGGGGTATTACACAAGATGATAGAAATGTTACGTTCGGTAGTGATTAATATATTAATTGAGAATATGCCTCTCGAATTCATGGCGCATTGAAAAATAAAACAAAAACTAATATGTGGTGGTAAACTATAACAAACAAAGTTTGGGCACAAGTAAACAAATGAGGCACGCGACGCCTCTGGACTCAATCACAAAAATCTGTGAGACGCCCTGAGATGCAAAGGAGTCCCGGATAAAATCGTCAACCTAATCGAAGCGCAATACGATGCTTTTACATGTAGAGTCCTGCATAACGGAGCCTTGTTCGACCCTATCCGGGTAGTCGCAGGTATAAGGCAAGGATGTTTACTATCACCGCTAATGTTCTTCATCGTAATCGACGAGATCATGCAATTGACCGTGTACCGAATCGTGGGCTACTTTGGTAGTCTATCACTATGAAGCACCTCAACGACTTCGATTTGGCTGTTGACGTTGCGCTATTGGCACAACGGTGCTCTGATATGTAGAGTAAGTTCAACGACCTAGCCGAACGCTCCTCTAAGGTGGGCCTCGCCATCAACATCAGCAAAACCAAATCGTTGAAGGTCAACACGGACAACTCTTCCAACTTCACGGTAGTGGGGTTAGTAGTGGAGGAAGTTGAAACTTTCCAATATCTTAGCAACCAGATAGCGTCAGACGGTGGGACCAAGAGCGGCATAGGAGCCTGCTTTTGCTAGTTTACGAAATGTATGGAATTCTAACCAGATAAGTCAACGTTCCAACATTTGAATTTTCAATTCAAACGTGTTGTTATACGCCAGCGAAATGTGGTGTGTAACAGCGGAGAACACTCAAAAGGACTTCGCAACAGAGGCAGACCCAGGGGCTCATGGCGGTGGAGCCTCAACAACGAAATAAAGGAAGTCGACAGGAATCTAATCTGGGCTAAGGTCAAGGCAAAATCGAGCAGCCGGCCAGGATGGAAATCTTTCAAGCATGTGCAGGATACATATATGTAAAAAGCAGTAGGGATGTGTAGGATACATATGTAAAAAGTAAAATTTCTTCATTTAGTAGGTAGCCTTCAAATACAGGTATATCTCGATATAACGAAACTGTCACTTTTGATTTCCACCGTCAATATCTCTCTAATAACAATTGAATCATACAAATTAATACTAGCAATAAATGGGGGATTATGTCATCTGTCCGATGGTGATATTACTTTGCTTGTTTGAATGATAATTTGCGGGAAATCGACGATGGAAATCTAAAGTAACAGTTACGTTATATCGAGGTATACCTGTGAATGTTTTGTTTTAATATTCAAATAAACACACCGCAAATGATATTCATCGGGTGAAATGCTGAGTCTAATTACAAAACTAGAATGCCTACTACAATTACATTGCAAATATAAACATCACTATTCTGACGATAAATCATGTCTTACCAACAGGTAGGCTAGCAATTATCCCAACTGTGTAAATGTAAAAAATACCAAAAGCATGACAGTCGCAATATGGGAAAACCAGTTAGCTATGTACAAATACTGCACCTACACATGCAACACTAATGATAGTTGGCAGGATTTGCATAAAACAGCTGAGTTTATAACAGTAGAAGCAAGAAATAAAGCCTTTCCTATTCAACCGCTGCTGGTAAAACTCAATTCGATTAGGATCCTATATAGAAACACATATTTCTTTTGTTAAACTAGCGGAACGTATACGCAACCGCAATCATCTTATCTATCTAAATGGAAATGCTGTCAGCAAAAGACAAGATACATAGCCATAGTTGGAGGGTACGCACTGCTCCGTCTTTTAGGGAGCAAACATCTGAAATCAGCTGGTCAGGTGATTTTTCCACGTAGCTGTCTCCTCCATTCCCCAATATGTACACATGTGTGTCATCGCTTTAAACGGTGATGTCGCGTGTGAAAACACGTACCCACTAGCCTCTTATGCCGGTGACTACGACGACGACGACGTACGTGAGCTAAAAAAATAGCATTTACTTTGATTCCGGCTACCGGTTTGCGAATCGTACTAATAAATAATATAATGGTGTGTAGATACTGATGTAACGGCGATGAGCGAGCGGCCGGTTGATTGGGTGGTTTCAACGTAAGAATACAAATACGCAAGTTTATTATGTATTATTTATGGGTGTTGTACAGAGGAAATAAACAGATTCTAATCTCGGCTATAGTCCAACGTAAATAAAACCAGCGGAGCGTAAGTTCGCAGAACTAGGATCTGACCGGTGTGTGATGGAACCGTTTCGGCATATTTATAAGTCGGCATCTACAATCATATTACAGAATAAATTAACAAAAACTTCCGACGAACCCCCCCCCCCCCCTGGTGCATAACAGGACTGCCTCTTACCCCAGTAGGTCTGGGTTCAATGCTGTTATTCGTCCTTGCACCAACAAAACATGATTAGTAAATTAAACGTTCTATCACAATGTTATTAAATAAATATAGAGGGCTCTAATGTTGGCCAATGGATCTAAGATTGGGCCCATCGTTAAAAATCTGCTATTTTTCAATTTTATCTAGATGAACGTGTCATTGGAACGGTACTAATGGATATTTTTTGTCGCTATTGAAAATTTAGTCGATTACTGAATTTATGTATGGGCCCAAATTAGGGGCATTTAGGCCGACATTACATCTATTTCCCCTACACTGTAAAACAATTAAGCTATTTTGGTCTTATGACCAAATTAAAATCCTTAATATCAGACAGACCATTCCTTGTAAGATTTTTTAATAAAAATTCAAACTTCCTATTTTTTTTTGCACATAAAACAATGTTAAGGTCTTCGAAATATGAACTGCTAACTGAGTAGAGAGTTTTTTTTTATATCTCAGAAGCACAACGTAGTTTATAGGCAACCCAAACCCATACATGGCATACAGTAAAAATGGTTATAGTGCGGTTAATTGGAACCGCGCTATAGAAATCGGCACAAACTAGTGGTGTCCCATAACCTCATTTTTTACCTGTGCACCAACTTTGAAAACCAGATTTAATGCCATATTCATACTCGAATCGGTTTAAAAATACACTAAATCTTCTAGTTTTTTTTTTCTCTGTTCGGGACCTAACACTACTGCGACCAGTAAATTGATCTATTGTAATAATCTACTCTAGTTTACTCGATATCTATCAATTGCTTATCTTTTGACATATACGCGTATTTCGACTACTACTTGCAGACTTCATCAGTGCCCAGTGGTGTTGAGTACTTGGCACTGATGAAGTCTGCAAGTAGTAGACGAAATACGCGTATCTGTAAAAAGGTAAGCAATCATAACAAATAACAAATAAATCAACACACTAAAAATCTCTTCATAAAATTAAATGATTTATTTCAAGTTTGTAATTAACTTTATACAAGATTTAATATCTTCAGTTCCCTTTAATCTCACAACAATTGTAGGAACTTTACAGATGTTGTGAGAAATGAAAGGAAATGCAGAGAAATTCGGTGAAGCTTCATAATCAATCTGCGGGAACATAAGGGAAGTTATCATCCTGAAAATATGGGGAACTTACCTTAGAACCTTAAACCGAAAAACTGTAGGAACGTTTAGGAAGTACCTAAAATTTCAGATAACTTCACCGGTGTCAAGAGAACTTCAGAAACAAAGAGAACCTTGTGGAAACTTTTCAGAAGTTGCTATGTACCGTAAAACGGGGTATCTTTGATAAAGCGGGTAACTTTGATAGTATAATGTAAAGATTAAATTTACTAGCTGCGCTTTTTCCAAATTAGAAACATTAGTTCCATATTGTAGCTTAGGGTATTTCCGTTGAAATCTTATGTAGTGTTTATACAGTATGTGTTACATATTTTACAAACATATTAAAAAAAAACAATTTTCGTGTTTTTCGCCTGTTTGAAAAAAAAAACTCAAACCATCACTTATTAAATGTATTAAATTCAATGTTGTATTCTTATTACTTATGAAGTTTTCTGATTGTATATTCATTCAAAGTTTCATATTTAAAGAACTAAATTGCCACGCGATCGTCTGTTTTCTCGGCAGCAACCATTGCACACTGGGGACAAAATCGAAACAATGTGTTAAAATTCAATAGCTTCGGTGCTCGCTGGAACAAGAGACTAAAAAATAGTCATGCTTATAGAAAAAAGTCTCAGGAATCGATTGGAGTGGATTTCATCTTGGGCACGATAGGGTAAGTTGGGGGTTTTCACAGTTTTGCCCTAAAATCTCCTATTTTGCATGATTTGAATGCTGTATCTCAAGATACCGATGATATAGACGGATGATTTCTTCGGCAAAGTTGATCAAGAGGTCAAGGACTGTTGAATGATGAACAGAACAATTCGGAATTCTTCCGCAAGGCGGCGCTAGTGAGCATTCGAAGTGTATATGTTTGTGCTGCTGTATCTCAAGATCCTGACTATTGAGACGGATGATTTCTTCAGCAAAGTTG